CAGGAAAGTCCATGAGACTCTTATCTCCAATAAACCATTAGAAAACCGGAACTGGTGCTGTGGCTCAAGGGATAGAGCACTTGCCTTGAGCTGAAGAGTGCAGGGACAGCGCTCAAGCCCAGAGTTCAAGCCCCACGACCGACCAAAAGAAAAAAAAAAAAAACTCAGAGCTAGTACTCTACCACTTGAGTCACATCTCCATTTCAGTTTTGGGTATTTTATTAGAGATAAGAGTCTTACAGACTTTGCTGCCTGGGCTTGGCTTTGAACCATGATCTTTAGATTTCAGCCTCCTGAATAGCTAGTATTACAGATGTGAGCTGAAACCTTTTAAAGAAAAGTGTTGTCCACAGTTCTGTAAATAATAAACTACTGAATTTCAGAATTTCGGTATATCTTCAGGTTTTTCAAGATGAATTTTGTGTGTGTGTGTGTGTGTGTGTGTGTATGTGTGTGTGTGTGTGTGTGTGTGTGTGTGCGTGCGCACTTGCTTGTACAGGGGCTTGAATTTAGGGTCTGAGTGTATCCCTTAGTGGGCTGGCACTATCACATAAGCCATACTCCACTTTCAGCTTTTTGTTGGTTAATTAGAGATCAGAATCTTACATTGACTTTCCTGCTACGGCTATACAGATCTCAGCCTCCTTAGTATCTAGGATTATAGGAGTGAGCCACCAGCACCTGGCTACAAAGCTGAATTTTGTGACATCCAGATACCACCACAATAAAGCTGCTAAGAAACTCACAACAAAACATTTCCAGGCATGCTGGATAACTCTTGCTGCTCCATCCTCCTTGATAGATGATAGGGTATCTTCCTGGGTCACCTCAGACTCCTAAAGAGCAACAAGCAAAATTCATATATTTAAAATCATTTTAGATGCTCCATGAGCAAACTTTTAAGTAGAGCTCAATAGAAATTCAACAAAGGGGCAGGGCACCCAGTGGCTGACACCTGTAATCCTAGCTGCCCAGGAGGCTGAGACCTGAGAATCATGGTTCAAAGCCAGCCCAGGCAGGAAGGAAAGTCCATGAAACTCTTACCTCCAGTTCACCACAAGAAAACCAAAAGTGGTGCTGTGGCTCAAAGTGGTAGAGAGCTAGCCTTGAGCAAGAGAGCTCAGGTACAGCACCCAGCCCCTGAGCTCAAGCCCCACAACTGAACCCCCAACCAAAAAAAATCAATAACGATGTTTAAATGAAAAATGAGGTTTGGTAGCAAAATCACTGTAATACAAAAAGTCACTTGTCAACTGATAGTTTTTTTTTTTCTAATTTCAACAGTGTTGTAGAGTTCAATATGCTTCTATTAAATAGAAGGGGACTGAGCTTCGAGGTCTATGAGCTGTAATACAGGGCTCCATCCAGTGTGATCATCTTTAGAGTCTATAACATTTTTATATTTACCATGTAAGTAGAGGTAACTTTTGTTACAGTATCTCATGGCTGTCAAGAATTTGTTTTTTAAAACAGCCGCAGAGAGCGCTGCCATGCATGGATCTCAGGGAGTACGTCTGCCTTTTCATGTTTCACTCTCTTTTCCCCTTGAAAAAACACAACACAACGCTAGAACAATCCTAAAATGGTTGGGATCCAAATCTAGACTTCCTATTTTGTTTCCTTTGCTGCATCTTAAATGACTTACAAATGTATTGCAGGTTTTTCACCAATTCCGTAATTTTGATTTTCATTTTTACCTGTGCTCTTATACTGAGGGAGAAGACAAAACCAAAACATCTTTAAAGGGGTGCATGGAGGGCGCGGGCCCCTAAAGGCCCCACCCAGACACGGCTCAGACCAGCTGCCAGAGAGGGGAGCGGAGAAGAATGAGGGGTTAGAGGAGCAGGGGTACCGTCTCAGAGGGAGAAAACTCCATCCTTCAGTGCCCAGGTCCACCGCCTGGCTGGCCTTGTTTCCTTGGTAACCACGCAGAGGTAAATGACGCACTTCTTTGTCCCGCCTCCTAGGTCCCGCCCACCTCTAACCCCCAGCTCCCGGCAGCTTTCCACTTGGGAGGGACTTATCTTTGGCGGGGAGGGGGGTCGTCTCAGGAATTCAAACCTGTACCCTAAAGTTAGTCTATTATTAACTGTCACTTCCCATGTCTTTGGAAAGGAAATCAAAATGATTGCCTAGAAGTTGTTTATAAAGCCTGGTGGTCAAAAATTCAACCAAGAGAAACAGTGGGATGGTTTCTATTTAATGAAGTCAATTAGTTCCCTTGTGAATATGAACGCTAGCCTTAAGTGATCTGCAGGCCTTGCTCAAAGTCAAGAATCAGCTGACTGCAGTCCTTTGTCATTACTAAACCTAAATCCCTTAGCTAATAAAGCAAAAACCAGCTTTGAAATGAACAGAGCCAAGTCCTTAGATGAGTTTTCAAGTATGAGTAGCCAGCGCATTCCGAATATGAGTATGGAATGCGAAATATCCAATTTGGGGCAGTTCTTAAGCGGTAAACTGTCACACTGGAAAAGACTGGTGTTTAGAACAGCTAATCTCCCTCCCTGACTCCTCCCACACATCTAGGGCACATTTTTTCCTATATAATAATCATATTTGTATGGAAAAAAGTAATCTGGAAGTTAATTCAGCGATTGGTTGAGCTTCCAGTGTTCTTATTAAAAACCTTTATGGCAATCATAGTATGTAGAGGATGAATTGCTTCCCTAACATGTAGTTTGTTACTTTTCATCTAGCACAAACCAGGTTTAGAATTCTAACTTCCAATCTCACAACCAACATAAACACAACTCAGTGCCTCAAGACTGTACTTCAAAGTGGTTAGACCAATAGATTTAAACATTACCACAGTTTAGAAATTTAAAATTAAAGTTGGGCACTGGTGGTTCATGTGTATAATCCTAGCTATTCAGGAGGTTGAGATTTGAGGATCGTTGTTTGAAACCAGCCCAGGCAGAAAGTCCATGAGACTCTTATCTTCAACCACCATTATTTTCAATTAACCACCAGAAAACTGAAGTGGTACTGTGGCTCAGAGTGGTAGAGTGTTAGCCTTGAGTAGAAAAACTTAGGGACAGCACCTCGGCTCTGAGTTCAAGCCCCATGACTAACAAAAGAAAAAAATTAAGTAGTATGAAACTAATTCAATAATTCAAAACAATTTTTAATGTTGAGAATAAAATATAAAACATTTAATGCATAAAACCTCATTTAAACACTTTAACAATAAGCTCTGCATATTTTAATGGAGTGTTTAAGATAGAATTTCTCTTTACCAACCATATAAAGGTAAGAAATAGAAGCCAGGGGTAGGTGCCCTGTCATTTTGGCTATTCAATAGAGTGAGATCAAGATTCAAAGCGAGCCTCTGCAGAAAAGACATGTGAGACATCACCAATTAACCAGCAAAAAGTCTGAAATAGAGCTGTGCTTCAAGTAGGAAAGCACTAGCCTTGAAAGAAAAAGAAAAGAAAAAAAAATAAAGCTCAGGGATTGCACCCATCCCTGAATTTAAGAACCATGACCAACACACACACACACACACACACACACACACACACACACACACACACACACACACACCTTTAAAAAAAGAGTTGCTATGAGAAAGGATAAATTCTTCCAATGTAGGGGAAGAGAATGCACAATTAAATCTTATTTCTTTCCCTTGCACTTTTGCACTGAAACAAACTCCAACAATAGATAAGGCTGTCCGGGAGCATGACATCTTTTAAGATTGTAGAATGTATTTCATGTAGTTAAAGAAAAAACTCACAAAGTTGCCAGGCTTGGTGACAGGTCTGAAATCTCATGTCTACCACGCCAGCACTGGGAATGCTGAGGCAGGAGGATCTTTTTTTTTTCTTTTTTAACATTTTATTATTGCTATCTTTAAGTAGTTATTCAAAGAAGTTCCCATTCTACAGAACAGTATATGAGTACAAGTGTCTGACGACATTGTCACCCATCGCTGGCAGGAGGATCTTGATGTTGAGGCCAGCTATGAACTGGGCAAAGCCTTTTTATGAGTCCCAATTTTGCTCCTTCTGAAACCAGCTCAATTTCTGTCTGACTAATCTTGCACCAACGTTACTGGGCCCTACAGGTCCCAGTCCTGTATCTGTTACCATTTGCAAATCCAGTGTGGATAAAAATATTTGCTCAAACAGGCCAGGGGCTTAGCTTAGTGAATGACGCTTGCCTAGCAAGCCTGTAGGCCTGAGGTGTACCCCAACCACTACAGCAACAAACAAAAGCCCCAGATGTTTGCTCAGACAAAGCATAAATGTAAGGTATCTTGGAATATCAGAGAGAATATACTCACAACTCCCATATAGAACAAGAGATCAGCTCTAAGGGCATAGTGGGCTCCTTACCTCATTCTGCTGGGGTCCCTGGAGCTCCGTGTACACCTTGATTTCTATGCCAGGACTGCCAAAAGGAAAATTCCTTGGTCCACTGAATGCATTAGCATTTATTCCAATTTATTTGAGTGATGCATGAATCACACAACTTCCTGAACCAAAGCGTGTTCTGCAAACCCGCAGTCAACCCCCCAGGTCCTACAGCATTTATAGCAAAACACAAACAAGGCCTAGAATACAACTTAACTGGCCATAGCCTAGTCCTGCAGTCATTGTGCACTGGCCACAGTTTAGTCCTGTAGTCAATTTGTTGCACCTTAACTCATGAATTGTTTGCAACTTAATCAGTGAACTGGCTACTGGGGCTGCTGTAACTGAGCCAAAGTTTAGTTCTTGATGAAACTCTGCATGGGTTGGCTCTGCTGGGCGGAGGGCAGAGAAGACTTGGAACAGCTGAGCTTGGGTTTTAGTGATTCAGGAATAACTCCACAGAGGTTGATACCCCATGGGGGAAAGCAGTTCCTGGAAATAGTAAACTATAGTTCTGCACAAAAAACGAGGATTTTTTTTTTAAACGTAGGGGTTGGCTAACTTTCCTTTGATGTCAGATATATGTCAGTACCACAAGAATACGTCCTTTTCTTCCAAGTACAAATGTTATGTAGTTCTAACCTTGGCCTCACACTGCCTTTCCTTCATTCTGCCTTCTCTTGTATTTTCAGGATCAACTAGAAAGAATAATGTCCATGCAGGAGGTGTGGTGCAAGTGGTGGAGCCACCTGCCTTCCAAAGTTGTAAGTTCAAGCCCCAGTACTGCTAAAAGAAATTAACTTGGCATTGAGTCCATTGTTTTTCTGTAATATTATTTCTCTCCCATGCGAGTCGGAGTGGTGGTGATAAAAGTTTTGACATTTGTTTATGAAGACAATTATGACTAACTCAGTTACAGAAATACCATGGGTTCAAGTGGTGGCAATCGCTTTAAAAACAAAACCAATGGATCTTTTCAAATTTTATTTAGAAAAACTGTGATTCATTTTTAAAGTGTTTGCAATAAAATTGTGATGTAAAATTATAGACACAAGAGTTAAAAACAGTATAATGGGAAACAAAAATATCCGTTTTCTTTTCCTAGTTACATCTTTTGTACGTATGTTGTACTTTGACAGTTGAAAATTTACAATTTGAATCATATATATGGTAGAAAAGCAACTTAAATACTATAAAAAGGCATAAAATAAAAAAGTAAAGATTCTTCTCCTCATTCCTTTTTCAGACAGACACTCCTTCTACACTTCCCAACATTTTGGTTTTGACATAAATGGCTTCACATTATATTTACAGACACAATCATAGAAATCTCTCATGATAGTGCTGTTGAAACAACTTAATTCTTTATCATGTTTACCCACAATTCCTTCATTTAGCAGTATCCAGGCAACACCCTAATGATGCTCCTCAAGGTGTTTCTGGGTTGTGGAAATGAATATGCTGTCTGCTCCTTCAGACTAACTTTGTGTCCTTTGTGTCCAGCCAGAAGGTGACAAGCTGACCTGTGACCTCACCTTCATGTCATGATGGACTGCAACCTCTGAGCACAAACAAACCCCTCTTCCTTTAGCATCTTTTTTCTCCAGTCTTCTGTCACAGAGACAGAAAAGGAACACACAAGTATCCTTTTTATCTCCTTCCTGTTCAACTTGCTTTCAAGTATTACAACCTTTTGGTCTATCAAGGTGATATCAAGGTAAAAGATATAAACTAGCCGGGCACTGGTGGCTCATACCTGTAAGCTCAGGAGGCTGAGATCTGAGGACTGTGGTTCAAAGCCAGCCTGGGCAGGAAAGCCCCTGAGGCTCTTATCTCTGATTAACCATCAGAAAACCAGAAGTGGACCTGTAGCTCTTCAGTGGTAGAGCGCTAGCCTTGAGTAAAAGAGCTCAGGGACAGCACTCAGGCCCTGAGTTCAAGCCCACTACAAAAATAAAATAAAACAATAAAAGATGCAAAGTGTTTCTAGCAGACATCTAACAGTTGTGAGGGGAATAGGGAGAACTTTTCTTTCCATAATCCCAATTTTGATAAGCTCCAGCCTTTATGTGCAAAGTTTGTAAGAAATACATTCCAGAGGGTGTGGGTGAGAGGACATGGTCTCCAGACAGCCATTTCACATTTGTACACTCAAATTTAAACAGCTGCTCAAACGCTTGTCTTGACCATAAGGTTCTAAAGTTTGGTTTGGCTTTTGTCTAGTTACAAAACCAGCTCTGTGTGTTCTTTCTGTTCTTCAGGAAGAACAGGCAGGGCCAAATGGCAATTGTGTTTTCAAGATTAAATATTTCAACTAGGGGAGTAAGTCTTTTGACATTGGGAGTGTGGATAATTTTTTTTTTTTTGGTCTGTCATGGGGCTTGAACTTAGGGTCTGGGCACTGTCCCTGAGCTTTTTCACTCAAGGCTAGCACTTTCCCTCTTTGATCCACAGTGCCACTTCCATTTTGGGGTGGTTAATTGGAGATAAGAGTTTTATGGACTTTCCTGCTGTAGCTGACTTTGAACTAAGATCCTCAGATCTCAGCTTTCTGAGTAGCTAGATCACAGCACCTGGCCACATAATTCTGTCAGCAGGTGAATCTTAGATCGAAAGTACTCCAAAATCAAATTGCTAATCTAATCTTAGCAGTGCAAGGCAGCCCACAAAATAGAGGACAAGGGGAGTAAGGAATGAATAGTGGCCTGTTTTTGGCTTATGAGTAACTCCCAGGACTCTGGGTTTCCTGAAGATGCTATACAAGTTTCCATATCTGCAAGGATCATTTTTAAAAGTTAATAATAATTCAGAATTCCTGCCACTACACTTACTGTTCACAGTTCACTATAGAGCCAATGAAAGATGCCCATAGGGTACTATGAGCTGCACTAAGGACTGAAGCTCTGGATAGGGCATACAACCAGAGACTAGAAATCACCAACTTGAGGCACAATTCTTTCTTAATTTTGTTTCAGGCTTTGGAAAAAATTTACCAAAAAGATATGAATAGGGTTTTAAAATAATACATCATATGTGCTAGTACTGGGGTTTTAACTCAGGGCCTCACCTGTCCCTTAGCTTTTTTTTTTTTTTGCTCAAGGTTGATACTCTACCACTTGAAACATAGCTCCATTTCCAGCTCTGTACTGGTTAAATAGAGGAGATAAGAGTCTCTCAGATTTTTCTACCCAGGATTGCTTCGAGCCATGATCCTCAGATATGAGCCTCCTGTATAGCTGGAGTTATAGGCATGAGCCACCAGTGTTCAGTTTAACTCTTGTTTTTTTAATTCTTCTCATCAGGCCTTCTAAGTGGAGGCTGCCAGTATTGGAAATTGTGCTGTGAGGAGGAGACAAAGAAGACCTGATCAGATACTTTCCCTTCCTAATTGGAAGCATGAGAAAGTGAACAGGAGATAAAAATTGACCCATAAAGTGATGTCAACAGATTTATAGAAGATGGTTTCCATTTTGGCATGCCTCCCTATCTTCTACAAGCCTCAGGTACTCTTCTTTAGAGAAACCATGATGCTGGCTAAGAACAGTTTTTCCTCAAAAGAAACTAATACCCAAGTATACTGAATAATACTTGCTCAAATACTGCTATATCCATTCATGATATGCAAAGTTACTAAGAGAACTCTCTCTTCTCTCTCCTGGTTGTTTTCTTGATATAGGGTTTATTCTTTGTAGCCCAGGCTGGACTCCAACTCATGATCCTCCTGTCTCAGCCTTCCCGGTGCCGGGATTACAAGTGTGTGCTATTATACCCAGATTCTTCCACACTTTTTGTTTTTCTTCCCACAGTTTAGCATCTATATTAAGTTGTTCCTTACAGGTGTAGCTGGAGAGTGGATCTGGGGTGCGTTAAAGTTCTTCCCTTGTGGACCTTTTCCTGAGACACTGGCAGATGGATGTGTTGTCATCCGGCTGAGGAACAAGTTCCATTCCATCACGGATCTTAGGTTGGCTGGACTGGCGCTCTGCATATTTCTGAAATGTGTGTTTGAAAGCCAATGAGTGATTGGTACTCCCCATCTCCAATCATTATGCTTTACTATAAAACCAAAGCTCTAGTTTATTCTGGTCCTACAGGTTTTTTTTTCTTTCTTCTTTTTCTTTTTGGTCAGTCCTGAGGCTTGAACTCAGGGCCTGGGCTCTGTCCCTGAGCTTCTTTTGCTCAAGGCTTGCACTGTACCACTTGAGCCACAATACCACTTCTGGCTTTTTCTGTGTATGTGGTACTGACGAATCAAACCCAGGGCTTCTTGCATGCTAGGCAAATAGTCTACCGCTAAGCCATATTCCTAGACCCTCAAACCCACAATTTTATGAGCAAAAAGAACCTGTTCAAAAAGAGACATGAAGCCAAATTTCCCCACATGAAACTTAACATACTGAATATTTAAATCAGCAAACCAAGAGGAAAAGCAATTAAGATGAAGTAAGTAGTCACACATCTCCTTCCCTTTAGGTCTGGATTTATTATTTTGGTGGCCTTGGGTTTTGAATTCAAGACCTTGTGCTTGCTAGGCAAGCACCTACCACCCTCAACCCGGTTTTGCTTGAGTTGTTTTTCAGACAGGGTTTCCCATTTTTTTTTTCTTTTTGGCTTCAGCCAGTCTCAAATAGAGACTATACCTATACCTATTATTTCCATGAATCTGGGATGATAAACATGTACCACCATGCCTAGCTTGTTAGCTGAGTTAGGGGGTTATTAACATTTTTGTCTGGGCTGGTCTTGAACTCTGATCCTCCTGATCTCTACTTCTCATGTAGCTGGGATTATAGGCATAACCTACCATGTCTAGCCCCCATACCCATCTTTTTTTAATGGCAACAGGCCTATGAAATGTTCTATTCTGGCCACTGACTGGGCTTTTCCTATGCATATGTTATTTCACTTCAGTGGTTCTGTAAACATTTAGCTGTGTATTCCTGGAGATCCAAGCAAACCTGACAGAACAGTGCTGTAAGTAGCTGATCGTAATTATTATTTCCTGGGAAGACACTTCTACTATTGACAATTAAAGCCAGGCCAGGCAAGAGGACAGAACCCATCTCGGAGAAGGTAAGGCATAAGAGGACATTCACTTCCATTTCTACCCCCTAGAAAAGAAGCTGAAGCTAACAGGGTTGGAATCAAGGCTCAAGTGATAGAACACAGCCAGGGTTGGAGGTGTGGCTCAGTTGGTAGAGTGCCAGCCAATGAGCAAAAACATCAGGTACTAAGTTCAAGTCCTGGTCTTAGAAAAAGAAAGAAAGACAAGAAGGAAGGGAGGGAGGGAGAAAAGGACGGAAGGAGAGAAAAGGAAGGAAGGAAGAGGAAGGAAAAAAGGAAGGAAGGAAGGCAGGAAGGAAGAAAGAAGGAAGGAAGGAAGGAAGGAAGGAAGGAAGAAGGAAGGAAGGAAGAGAGCTAGAACACACATGAGCAGAGAAGAGGCCTGAGTAAGCCAGAGTTCCACAGGCTGACTCTCTGATCCCTTCAGGAAGCAAAGAAGAGGTTGGCAAGGCCAGGCACATGGTCCTAGGCCTGCTGACCCCATAGGATGGGCACCCTGGACTGACCTGCAGCACGCTGTAGTAGTAGCAGTAAAGCCGGTGTGGCTGCAGCAGTTCCCGGGTAGCTGCCTGCCCTGCTCTTGCAATCTTCTCTGCTTCTTCATCATTGTCCTGAGAGGTTTTCAAAAAAAGGCATAACAATTACTCATGCAGCTGAGAAAGAAAGTGATCCAAGGCGGAGGAAGGACAGATGTGGGGTTAAATGTGAAGGAGAGATCATAACGGAAATACAACTTGCGAATGCTTTGGAAAGAGTGGACTTTCCCAGTCATCTCTGAGATGTCCTGCAGTGCGACAATGCTGCCTCCATCCTATTTCCTGATTTCTAGCACTGGAAGAAAGCGTGGGGACTCTCAGGTGTCACCCAACCTAGTGTTCTTTGCTTAAGACTCAAATGAATCAATTTTCATGTTAAACATCCTTGAAGCTGGGCACTGGTGGCTCATAGTGGCTGGGTACTCTCAGCCTCATATTCAGGAGGCTGAGATCTAAGGATCATGGTTCAAAGCGAGCCCAGGCAGTAAAGTCCATGAGATTCTTACCTTCTATTAACCACCAAAAAGCTAGAAGTGGAACTGTGGCTCAAGCGGTAGAGTATTAGC